GAAAGGATGAAATGAGAAAGAAAGAGAAGAAAAACAAAAGGAGGGGAAAAGACCCTGACCCTTTCTATTTATTGATAAACACAATATTTATTACTGAAAGTACCTGGCACATATAAAATAGAGCTCTAGAAATGAAAAGTAACTTTAAAAAAAGGTAATCTTCAGCTACTTGATGTCTATTCAGCCTTGTTACATCAAAGAAACATTAGTCAGCACATGAAAACATATGGAAGTAAAAAGAGGTTGGAAAAGAACACTGGTGAATCCTGAAACCAACCTTCTTATCCTAGGGTTAACCTTTGTCAGGTTACAATCTCTCTAAACCTCAGTTCCTTCACCCATAAAATGGAGACATCATAGACTCTACATCTTAAGTATGCTTCCAAATCCATTATTCTTTCCACTGGTTAAATTTGAAAAGCATGGATAAAGAACAAGATAAAGAAAGCTTTGAATATACAGTTTTAATACTCATTTTGAAAATGCAAATTCGTTCCAACACAAGAGATATATTAGGGAACATTTTGAGCATAATTTAATTTTTACATTTGCTATGTGTCCATTTATGTGAATGCAGAAAACTGCCCCCAGCTGAACCAATCAGTGTAGCAATACACAAAGTAAATACAACCACACACTCAAATATCTACCAGCTCCCTCAGCTCACTGTGCTGTGAGCCACATCCACCTATCCACCTCTGGTATGGCAACTTTACATCCAATTCCAGATAATCCTTTCAACTACTTCACAAACTGCAACCCTTCCAATGCCACTCCACTAGCAAACTTCAGATTTTGCAAGGTAAACTGCCATATTTATTGTAGTATTCGTGTACTTTTAACCATTTAACATATGAAAACTTCTGTCACCAGTTTTAATAGATTCCTATCTCCTTTTTTTTATGTGTCACTGACAAAGCTAAAGTATTGTGTCCTTGTGTCCCTAACCTTATTTCCCCCATAAGCCTTGTTGTTTTTACCACATAATGGTGTTTAGAAATTTTATATCATGTTACAGCAGAAGTGACTGTATTACTGTTTGGGAAAAAAACTAATCAATGACCAATCAATTTTTTCAAAGATTACAGGTCAGCAAACTTTGAGCAAGTCTGCTTAAGTATTAAATCAACATCAGTGAAAAGTCTCTTTTTCCTCCTGAACAGTTGGGTTTTTTTTCAAAGGTCTATCCATTGACTAGGTAACTCACAAATCAGATATGAGATTCGGAGCCAGAAGGATATCATTCACTTTGAAATAGTGAACAAAAATTTGAATTTGTCAAGTACTAAAGAGGTGACACAATGTATCTTCTAAATTCAGATCCTGAATCTGGCAGAAAATCTTGGCATGAATCACAATAAATGTTCCAGTTCAATAATGGACGTATAATACCTACCATGAAAGAATATGCAGCAAAAAAATGTTACAGTCATGCAATGGTTAATGATATAACGGTGGTCGGAGCAACAGGCTGTATTGCGTAGGTGTGTGTAGGCAAGCTACAAATCTAGGTTTGTGTAAGCACACTCTCATGTTCATATAATGAGGACATCAACTAATGACACATTTCTCAGAATGTATCCCATTATTAAGTGACACATGACTGTATTTCTGAAATATATTTGACAGTGCAGTAGAAACCACAGAGCCTTTACAAACATTCACTCTTAATTCTTGATAAACTCAGAGGTAAAGGAGGATAGTGAAACAGAGGCGGTCATACTTCTTTCCTAGTTTCCATGCAGAATAGAAATAGGAGACACGGGCCGGCCCGGTGGCGCACTGCTACAGTGCGCCGCTTGGGAGCGCAGTGGCGCTCCCGCCGAGGGTTCGGATCCCACA